TTTTTACACTTTTATGTGTTTGTGTTAGTCATTATGGAAGTGATAATTAGCTAATTTCCATTAATGCATATTTATAATATATTTATTGATGTTCATTTCAAGAACTTGTCAATGCATGCAATTTGTCTTGACCTTTTCCAACCTGTTCTCCCTGCTCCTTCGCTTTTCCTTTCTCCTGGGCACATATCCTGTTTCCAAGAGACCTCTTGCTACTTTCTGTCACATCTTCTTTACTTTATATATTTCTTTATTCAAATAATAAAGTATTAATTTTAGAAAAAGTTTGTGGCCTTAACTTTTCTGATGATTTCCTTTGATGTATACAAATTTCTCAGAAAGATGAGATCCTAATTGTTGATTCCTTGAAGTATTTCCTGTGCAATTTTTTTTTCATGAACTCTTTACCTACCCCTATGTCCTTAAGGTTTCTACTTACTTTCTCTTCCAGAAGATTTAGTGTTTCTGTTTTAATATATAAAGTTTTGATACATTTTAACTGTAGTTTTGTGCATGGTTATAGGGCTGGCTCTGTTTTAAGCTTCAGGATGTGGAAAGCCAGTATTTGGACCACCATTTATTAAAGAGGCTATCTGTTTTTCAGTGAACATGTTTGACTCCCTTTTGGCTCTGTCTACATCTTCTACTTTATTCCACTGATGCTCAGGTCTGTTTTTTTGCCAGTACTGTGCTGATTTTCATCATAGTAGCTTTGTAATGTAATTTCAAGTCAGGAGGGGCCAGGGAGATGGCTCAGTAGAATAAGATCCTGAGTTCAATCCCCAGTTCCAAAAAAAAAAAAAAAAAAAAAAAAAAAAAAAAAAATTCAAGTCAGAGATTGTGATGCCTCCTGCCTTTCCTTTGTTGCCTATGATTTTTTTTTTGTATTCTAGTTCTCTTCTGCATACAGAAGAATTACAGGAATGTTTTTTCTATATCTGTGAAATATACTAATGGTATTTTAATTGGGATCCCATTCAATCTCTATTACAATTTTGGAATTATGACCATTTTCACAATGTTTGTTCTTATCCAGGAACAAGGAATATCTTTTCTGAAATCCTCTTCAGTATCTTTTTTTTTCAGAGTACTATAATTTTCTCTGTACAATTTTTTACTTTCTTTGTGAGATTGATTCACCAGTATTTCACTTTTGCAGGTGTACTTTTGAAAGGCATGATTTCCATTGTTTCCCAGTGCATTCCGTATTTCTGTATAGGAATGCTGTTGATTTTTGAGTGTTGACTTTGTATCCTATTATGTTACTGAATTTGGTTTATTAAATCTATAAGTCTCTTATTGGATGTTTTGGAGTCATCTATGTAGAGTATCATGTCATGCACAATTAATGGTAATATCAGTTCTTTTCCAATCCTTATTTCTTTCATTTCTTCTCTTCACTAATTGCTCTGGCTAATGTTTACAGAACTATATTGAACAGGAATGGTGACAAGGGACATCCTTTCTTGTTCCTGATTTTAAAGAGAAAGTCTTCAATTTTTATCCATTAAGTATAATGTTGGCTGTTTTTTGTTGTAGATGGCTTTATCCCACTGATGTAAAGACTATCCACTCTGATTTTCTGTAGTGTTTTAATTATGAAAGAATGATTCACTTTGTCAAAAGCTTTTTCTGCATCTATTGAGATGATCATGTGATTTTTGTCTCTGACTCTGTTGATGTGATATATTACATTTATGGTTTTGCATATATTAAGCAGTCCTTGCATTCCTGGGATGAATCCAACTTGGTCACGATGTATAATGTTTTTGATGATTTTCTGCATACTGTTTGTTACAAGTTTATTGAGGATTTTTTGTATGCATGTTCATTAGGGAAATTGGCCTTTAGTTCTTTTTTTTTTTTGGGGTCCTTTTCTGGTTTTGGTATCAGAGTAATACTTACTTCCCTGAATGAGTTTGAGAGAATTGCTTCCCTTTCAAATTTTATTGAAGAGTTTGAGAAAAATTAGCATTAGATTCTCCTTAAATTTCTTATAGAATTCAAGTGTAATTCCATCATTACCAAGACTTTATTTTATTGTCAGTATGTTTTACTACAGTTTTTACTTCATTGACTGATAGTGGATTATTCAGAATTTTTAAATATTCTTGATTTAGATTTGGTAGTTCATATGTGTCTAGGAATCTGTCCATTTCTTCTGCATTCCCCATTCTGTGAGAGTAAAGATTTTGAAAATAAGTACTGACAATCTTCTGAATTTCTACAGGGCCTGTAGTAATTTCACCCATTTCATTCCACATTGCATGAATTTGAAATTTTTCTTTATTTTCTTAATGATGTTGGGTAGAGATTTATCAATTTTATATATCAAAGGACCAAATCTTAACTCATTAATTTTGTATTGTCTTCTTCATCTCCATTGCATTTATTTCTGCTCTGATATTTATAATTTCCTGCCTTCTTTGGGCTTTGGACTTGACTTGCTCTTTTGTTCTAGGAGTTTGAGGTGCAGAATTTATCACTATAAATTTCCTCTTTAAGACAGCTTTCATTGCATTCCACAGCTTCTGGTAAGTTGTATCTGCATTTTCATTAATTTGTAAATATCGTTTCATTTCTTCTTTAATCTCATCAACGACCCATTGATTGTTCATGAGGGCATTATTTAGTTTCCATGTGTTTATAGTTTTTATTGTTTCTGTTGTCAATAATTTCCACTTTCATTGCACTATAGTCAGATAATATGCATGGTATAATGTCGATTCCTTTGCATTTTCTTAAGATGTTCTATGTGCCAGCACATGATCTATTTTGGAGAATGTCCCATATGCAGCTGAGAAAAATGTGTATTCTGTCTCTGTTGGATGAAACACTGTGTAAAGACATACTAAGTCCATTTCTTCATAATTTTGGTTTAGTTCTGCTATTTCTTTGGTCATTTTTTGTTTAATTTCTAGGATTTTGATTGTGGTTTGTCTTGGTAATGATTTATTTTGATTATGGCTAGCTGGAGCTCTGTATATTTTTGGTCATCTGTATATTAGATTCTTTTCCCATGCTTGGGAAATTTTCTGCTACTATTTCCACAAACACTATTTCTATGTCTTTTATGTTATCTCTGTCTGTTTCATTGATACCTATTAGTCCTGTATCATTTTTCTTTGCATCTTCTTACAGCTATTGTATTATTTGCTGGTTTCTCACTATTTTAAAGAGATATTCACTAGCTACAATGCTATCTTCATGGTCTAAAAGTCTATCTTTTGTTTCATTCTAGCAATTTTGCCAGCTTTCAGTGGTATTTTCTATGTCCTGGATATCTATTTGAATCTGCTTAATGCATTCTAATTCTTTTTTGTGTTGTTCATTCAATGTTTCTATCATTGTCCTATTACCTTATTTTTTATCTGTGTCTTCCTTGGATGTATCAAACAATTCTTTCATGACTATTGTCATTTCTTTTTTTTTTAACAGAGGTTATTTCTGATTTGATTTGCTCCATAGCCTTATGGAGTCATTTTTTTCCTTCAGATGCTATCATCTGAGACATTTCAAGTGTGTAACTTCCAAGTTCTTCAATGACCTTGTCTCCTGGACTTGTGTTAGGTGGACTAGAGGTCTGATATTGCCTTTTGTTCTTGTCTTTTGTCATGTTTTGCAGTGATCATAGATGGGAAGATTTCAGGTCAGCAAGCCTCCCTGGAGAGTGGAAAGGCATGGAAGGTTCACCAAAGCTCCTTCTGTGTGGTATTCAATGTGATTTGTACCTCATTAAGGAGAGAAGGGCAAGCCACAGTTCAGGAAGGGTCAGATGATTTGATGAATGTAGGGTGAAGTTGTGCAAGGCTCTCTTGATTGTGGATTGGTGCAGGGTAGGATAGGTACAAGGCTCCTGCAGGAGCTGTGGTAGTCATATCTCCTGGAGGTCTTCAGGATAAGGAAAGATGTTCAGACTCTGCAAATTCTGGTGGGAAGGCAAGGGGTATGCTACCAGGTATCTCAGGCAGTCTTCAGGGCCAAAAGAGGTTGCTGGACTCAGCAATCTTGGCAGAAAGGCTGTAAAGTGTATGTTTCTCCACTGTATTTTCCGTTATTTGGAGCAAGGTGCAGCTATTGTGGAGAAATTATGAGACAGGCTTTGATTCACACAGGCTGGTGCAGACAACTCTGGTAATACATTCTGGAATCTCTACAGTATCCAAAGCCTGACACTTATGACCTTCTTCCAATGCAAGATTTATCAGAGATCTCATTTATTGGTCATGCATTTCCTGTCTGGTTGCTCATTATGACTCAAATTCATCTTGTTTCCCTACTACACAAATGAGAAGAATGTCTCATTTTATGCTTTCCACCTAGGAAATCATTCAACTCTATTACTCTTTTTATTATTGTATGTATAGTTTTTGTCTACAGCCTTCAACATGTTGAACTTATTATATGTAACTGTGTATGAATTCAATTTAAAATGCCTCCCAAAGTCTCATTTGTGTGGAAGAGGATGGAATCATGAGATGCTGTACACTATAGTGGATTCTTTCATTGATGAGTTCACTAGAGAAATGAGCTGTATAAAATCAGAGCCTGGTTTGGAGTGATTCACTGGGGTCATGACTTAGAAAGGTGGACATCTTTCGTTCCTGGATCATTCCTTTGGTTTCCTGGCTGCCATGGAGTGAGTAGTTGCCCACCAGCATCTTCTACCATGGCTTTTCTGCCTTGAAGACAGAGGACTATGGACTGAACCCACTGAAAATTGTAAGCCAAATCAGCTCTTTCCTTTAAGTTGTAGGTTTGTGGTATTTTGTGTACCAGAGACCAGAAGCTGGTTAAAACTAACTGGCCATATAAGGTTGTTTTAAAAGCATCTCTTCAAAGTCAATACTGATATCTGCATCATCTAAGCGAAGATCCAATTTTTGTCATATTCAATAACTTTCCTATTCTTACTCTCATAAAAATTCTCAACTCAAAATATGTACATGTGATGATAGCATAGGATGTCAATTAAACATGTTCTTATACACATTTTGAACTTCCAATTTTAATTATGTTTATTTTTAGGGCAAACATTTTATTGCACTCATTTCTTTTCCATTTTTATGTGTGGAATTTGTCATCTAATAGTCATTAAGTTTTAAATATGTATTATGGCTTTTTTATTGAGACTTTTTTCTGAAATTCATCTGTTTAATAACTGTTAGTAAATATCCACAAAGATTAAGGATCTAGATTACAGTCAACATAGAAATAGGTTGAAATTATGTCACAATATGTCTATATAGTCTACTTTGGGTCTTCTTAGCATTCAGTGGTCCTTAGTAGTTCTCTTCTCTGTTTTTCTCTTGTAGTCTTGCTCCTAAACCTGTCCCAAGAATTAAAACAGAAGCAAAATATAAACAAATGAGGAGAATGTATCCAGAAGATACCTTTAAAAATTCAGATAAATTGGAGCTGTGCTCAAGTTTGTATATCTCTGACCTGTACACTAACACTGCTCAACATGATCATGAGGAATTAGTGTTACTATATTAAAGAAGACCCAAATCAAACCCTAGGCTTTTATGCAATGTGATAAATGTACACAGTTATGTAAATAAAGATTTGGAATTAAAATTCCTGTTTTTAACTCTTAATTCTATGCTCACTTTCTTACCTCTAGTACACCAGAAAGGTATCATTTCTACTTAATAAGGATATCTGTTCTATGAAATAAGATACAGAACAGGAAGTAGTGATCTTGCCTTCATGTAGCATAGCAAAAACTCTCCTCTTAGCATGGATCTCAGAATTTGGATCTCAGAATTTTTCAAATTATGTAGGTTTTTGTTGTGTCTTCCATTAATTGATTTTCTAGTTTAAAAGAAAGGCTTTTATCTTCATTTATCTTCAACTTTCTTGCCCATATATGCAGTATAGAAAAAAACACATTCTAACTCAAAAAATTGCACAAAACACTACACATGAATATAATGATATAAGCAACTATTTGCTTTACAGGTTAGTCAATTTTATATATTTATAAAAATAAATACAAAGTGTAAATAATTTACAAGTGTATTTGTTATATAATGGCTCCATTACACAGGAAATAAGGAAAATTGCCTAGAAAAATACTGTAGAGATGTGAAGTGAGAGTGCAAAGTGGTCTTCTGGGTTCTGCTGTACAGTCTCGCCACTGCACAGCACAGCTTCATGCAGCAGGACCACAGGGGACCTTACCTGTTCTCTATGTCTTTGATGGTGTCAGCAAGTGGCAGATTAAAGGTCTCTGGGAGAAACAAGATGCAGACTGAGGTAGCAAGGGGAAGCACCCCATAGAGAATCCCAGGAAGGTGAATGAAGTACTGCTTTGTCATGAGAACTAGTGCAGAAACTGTCCCTCCTAGTCTCATAGCAACAGTGAAAATGCTCAGCATAGTAGACCTTCAAAAAGAGAAAACATTCCCTTAATATTTGCATCTTTCAGTTGGGTCCCTGCTTAAAATTCTAGCTCATTCTGCAGCCCTTCTCAGTGTCCAGGACCAGTTTGGCCTTTTCCTACAGCACGGGTTGTGAGTATATACACACACCAAACACTGATGCTCACAATCTCTGCCCCATGGTACACACAACTGTTTTGTTTTTGCAGCCATACTATAAGGACTTTAAAATTATGGTTCTTCATTTTACACATAATATACAATCAATATGTGAGATTGTTTTTTCTTCTGTAATATGGTGAAAAAATATCATACTACTTTAAAAGTTACTAGTTGGAAAACTGGAATTATTTGGCAAAATACAAATTAACTTTGAATTTCAGGTAAAAACACCGTTTTTAGTCTAAGCAGGCAGCATACAATATTCATTTACATATTTATCCCACTACACTAAGTTATGTTGTAATCTAAATGTTTGAGAGCTTTATTTGCTTTTCTGTTTATTTGTTTGTTTGGTATCAGGAGTCAAACTCACCAACTTGTGCTTACCAGGCAGGCCCTGTGTCACTGAGCTCTATCCCTTAAATATAAGCTTAAGTATTTGCCAGTGTTTTATTTTTCTTTCTTCCTTTTCTCTTTCTTTGTTCCCCTGCCTCCTCTCTCCCCTTTCCTCACTCCCTCTCTTCCTTCTTTTTATTCTAGAGCCTGTTAGGTCTTCTGTGGCAGAGGTGTGGCAAAGAAGCAGAAATAGAGAGTGGGAAGCCTTTGTTAACTCTGAGGACATGGAGAGGATGGAGGGCAAGGACATGAGGAGATCCCCTGACCTGGGACAGGGAGTAGGAGACGTTATGGACTTTTGTTTGGGGTGGAATTTTAGGGGCAGGTTCAGTGACACACAAGGAGCTGATTGGGGGTGCCCTTGTGTGACTCAGGCCAGAATCTATCAAAAACTAAATCTGGCATCCGTACATAAGATTTGAATATTTTTTATAAATTGAGATGTGTCATTCTGAAACATTCAAAATTTTATAATCTGTGATAGATGGAAACTTCACTTGTTGAAATTGAGAATTTTGGAGATGATATCTCACAGGAAATTAAATTTTGCAAGTAAAATTGAGACATGTGAACTGTTCATCTAATTATATCTCTTTATTTTAAAAACTATATAAAATAGCCATTTGACATGACTATACACATATTGTTGTAGGCAGCTAAGTTAGTTAGTCCATATTATAGGCATTCAGGCAGGGCTAGGCCCTCAAGGACCCAATATGGAAGACAAGATACCTTGCAACTATGGAAGAGACAGATATTCCAGCTGTGGGCCAGACCTCAAGACAAAAGATTGAACAAATGAAGCCACATACTTCCCTTGGGCTGAGCATCAGGGATTGATATTCTAAATAGATATTAATCACCTTGAAAGAGCCACTAACACAACCCTCTATAAGAAGAGCCCCTGCTTTATATTAATGCCCACTTGCTGCCTTACTCACTCCCCAATTCAATTCTGATTTAATCAATTTTACATAAACAATTGGGCTTGTAATCTTATTGGTGGAACATAGTTTTATCCCACTTCATGCCCCAAATAAATGACATATTCTTCACCTTAGGCCTGCCTCACCACATAGTTTAACCCTATAAAAATCCCTGAAAGAGACAGATTTGGGGGCAACACACTCAGGTCCCCCTTCTCTCCTCTTGGACAGACGTGCACTTTCCCCAGTTAAATATGTTCTGTTTTTAATCTCTGTTCATAAAATGCATTCTTTCATTTTAGAGAACATGAACTCAGCTCAGGTGTCTTTCAGGTTGGGAGTTTCATTCTGCTATATCAGTAACAATAACAGAAGAACATTCCTTGCCAGAGAAGCGGAAGACCCAATACTATTATGGGCTACTGGACTTTTTAAGAAAATTTTGCTGAGTTTACACACCTATAATATTCAAATAATGGAACTAAACAAATAAAGGGGATACAGATGAATGTCCATTTTGTATCTGTGTATTCAAAGTCTTTAGGATAGATATATAGTTACATTCTCTTAATGAATAAAGGAATTTGTTCTAATGGTGTTCATAAATAGGATATCAAGTCTGCATCTTATACAACAATTAACCACTAGGAAGAATGTATGGAATGTGTTAATTATCGAAACTGTCCTACCAATTTGGTTTGAAACAGTCTCATTGCTATTTGTTGATCAATAAAATTATGGAAAAAGAGAAGAACAATCCAAGCATAACTGAAATCGTGTAGGACTAATTGAAAAGAATAAAGTTTTGAAGAAAAATAAATCAATAATTAAACATACAAAAATTTAAAATACCTTTTCCAAAGAAGTGAATGAAAGAGATATTTTTCATGTTTGCCACAAGGTCTGAAATTCTGCCATTATACGTAAGTTGTATACAATTATGAAATATTCTAATATGCATTGAAGACTGGTGACTAACACTGGAAGGAGTAATTCTTGTATTTGTGTGTGAGAGACATTCTTTTTATCAAAAAACATTTTTATTTCAACTTTATTTATTTTTTTCCACTACATAATTTTGTTTTATTTTTAAT